CAGGTCGAAACTCCTTAATTTGATTTTTCGGTGAATATCGTATCATAGGTGATAAACCCAGTAAAATGACCATAACTCGAGAAGGAAGGCCCATGGGCCCTTGTACTTTTGGGCTTTTTCTAGTCTCATTGGGCTCTACTTATCGGCAAAATATTGGCTTAAAAGCTTTGAATCACTTCGGGCGGTTCCCTCGTCAGTAGTAATAAACTAAGAACACATGAACTCTTTACAGAATATTTACAACTTATTTGTGTCTACATAATACATAGAGCATCGACTCAAAAGCAAGTTATCAGTTAGAAGACTTCTTTCCTAAGTCAAATGAAACATATAGAATCACTAAAAAGTTGTGAACTCTTGAGATAAATTGAATGAGATTGAGGAAAAAAAAATAATCATCAGTGACAATAATTAATATAGAATAATTCTATTACCTCTTTCATTTGTTGCATGATTTGATCAGCAATATCATTTTGTCCAATTGATCGATAATATTCTATCCATTGTTGACTATAATCAGGTTGTCCAGTAGTTGGATTAATTGCTAAAATAAATTTTTGTTTCATATAAAAACAAAAAAGCAAAATAAAATAAAAATTAGTACAAACCAGGTGTTGTCGAGTTATTATTGTTGGGAGCTGTAGAATCTGTTGCTTTTGTTGTTGTTGTACTTGTTGATGTACCCGAAGTAGTAGCTCCTGTCATACCTGCTTGCATCATATTATAATAACTCATTGATTGATAATAAGCTAACCAAGCTGGATCCATTTGTGGCATTGCTGATGCATCAGCAGTTGATGATGAATTATTAGTTGATGTACTATTATCATACGGATTCACTAGGAGAATAAAAAAAATCATTTTACTTTATTCTAAATAATTTCTTTTTTTTTGTTACTTGGAGGCCATTGTCCATAAGCATTTGCCCATTGACTATAAGGATCATTTGCAGTTGCTCCATTAGCATCATGTGCATATGGATCATTATTTCCACTCCATGAATCTACTTGATTGGATCCAACTAACGGTAAATTAAATTGTTGTTGAAATTGTAATGGTGTTAACATGTCACCAGGACCACCGGGACTATTAATAATTTTGTCATACATTAATTGTTGTGCTGCAACTATTTGTTCAGGTGTACCACGTAATTTAAATAATCTATCCGATGAATTTCCAATAGCTGGTATATAAGCTTTATCAAGTTCAACAAAAGCACCTGATCTTCGATTGATTTCTTTAATACTTTCACCACCTAAAATTTAATTAAAAAAAAACAAATTGAATAAATCAAAACAATAATTCTATACAAACCTTTGCCAATTATAATTCCTGCTTTATCATGTGGTGCATGATAATTTGCTTCATTACATGGACCACTCATCGGTGTACTACCAGTCTAGAAAAAAAGAAATTTTCTTAGAAAAAAAAAATTTTTTTTTTTTTTTGTAAACAATTTTTACTCGTGAACCATAATCATTAAATGATGTTGTATTAGCTGAATTTGTATTAAAACGATTTGGCACTGGTATACCACCTGATTTTGCTAATGAATCAAGTATATATTGTTTAGCACGCTTAAATAGAAAAACAAAATCTTTCTATAGTAATAATTATAGTTTTTATTTATTTTTACTTCAACTTTATCAGCTTCTCCTGTCATTTTTAATGGTTTATGTTCAATACCATCAATATCAGTTGTGTCTTGTGCAACATACATTTTAACACCAAATTCTTCTGATACTCGTTTAATATTTTCTCCACCTTTACCAATAACTAATCCACATTTAGCTGATGGTAACATAACATCAATTGATTTTATATTTGTTCCACCCATTGAATATGGATTTATACCAATAGGACCACCTTCAGCCATTTTTCCTTTTGCTATTATATCATCCATAATACGTTTAGCACGTTCAATAGCATCTCTTGTACCACATAAATTTGCTAAACGATCCGGTGGATTTGGACCACCGGGAATAGGTTCAGGTCGTGTTTGACATATTTGAACTTTACAACCACTTTCAGCTTGAAGTCGAATTATTTGTTCACCACCTTTGCCAATAATTAAGCCAACAAATTTATCTGGAATTTTATAATCTTCTTGAAATGTTAATTGATTTGATAACGGTAATGATGATGAATCAGCTGGTGATGATTTAACGCCTAATTGAGAATTAATTTGTTGGGCAACTTGTTGTGCACGTAAAACAGGCGGTGGAATATCATTTGTTTGTGTTGGTGAAGTAAATGCTGGACGTTTATTGGAATAATCATCATCATTATTTGGTCGTTTTAATGATGCACCTCCAGAAGGATTTGGTGCTGCTGCAGTTATTTTTTGTGCTACTTGTCGAGCACGTGCCAGGGCATCTTGAAAAGCTGATGAATTATTTATCATATTTTTCAACGAATTCTTTTCTATTCAATGTTTGATACAAATATTCATTGTTTTAGTTTATATAGCAGCCATTACTCTAGTTCTTTTGATTTTGTGTTGTTTTTTAAATGCATAGATGTATAAGAAGAAAAAAAATATAATGATCCATTGTCAACGAGGATTGTTACCATGGTAACAAAATGAATCAATGGAGAATAGAACAAAAAAAAAAAAAATTATTTTACTTGACATGTAATAAGAAGTAAAAAGAAGAAAAAACAAATAGAATAATGAGTGGAGGAGATCCAGTTCGTGAACAATTTTCTGCCTTACAAAAACAACAAAAAGAACGATTAACTCAATTAAAAGAAAAATCCAATAAGAAAAAAGTATCAACTGTTGATGTTAGTTTATTTTGTTTTTTAGTTTTATTGTATTGATAGTTTTTTTTTGTTATGAAAAAATATTTAGGCCAGTGTTTCAATGAATCTTGAAGTGGATTCAGGTCCATTTCCAATTCAAGAGGTTAGTAAATAAATATTATTTTATTAACATATTGTATTAGATGTTTTCTAAATCATTTGACATTAGAATAAAATGAGTTTATTTCCACTTAGTTTGATAGAATTATTTGTTTAGAGTAATAATGTCATCGCTTCTATTATTGCTGGTCAACAGGAAAATCTCAATGAACAAATTCGAGTAAGGAATTTTTTATTTTTTAGTTTAATTATCTGTTTATTAAAGGAATTACGTGATGAAAATGGTCGTCTTCGAAAACTTCTAGCTGAAAAAGATTATGAAGTTGGTTATTTACGTCGTATTCAAGAAGAAGAACGTCAAGCATTTACAGGTAAAGTAAGTGTCTATTATTATTGCTTAATTTAATCTAAAAAAATATATTTTTTTTTCTTGTTAAGGTGCCAATACAATTGGTGGTGATGCAATAGCAACTAAAGTTGTTGAATTATCAAAAAAGAATCGAGAATTATCTGCTGAATTAGAAAGTGAAAGAGCAAAATTAAAAAAATTATCAATTAAATGTAAAGAACTTGAATCAATGGTAAATAAAAAAAATATTTTTGTTTTTTTTCCAAATAATTAATTGTTTTTTTTTGCTACTAGAATAATAAAACACAAGGAGATGTACAACGAGCTTCAGTGAATGCTGATGAAGTGAGTTTTAATTAGTTTTTGAAAAAAAAAGAAAATTTTTTTTTTATTTTTATATTTTCGTTATAGAATAAAGCAGAAAAAGAAATGAAAGAATTACGTGATAAACTTAAAGATTTACAAGCACGTTATACAGAAGCTAAATCTCAACTTGATATTACAAAACAAGAATTAAAAAAAGTTCAAAAGGTAATATCAATGAGATTCAATCATAGAATAATCAGTCCCTACAGTAAAACCTCTCTGGATGGGCACCTTATACTAGATAGTAGGCGCTAATTTCTGATTTCATGACAAATAACAACCTATGCGCAATGTGAGCAACCTAATTTCTATCACTCACATACAGAACGAAAAAAAAAATGACGCTATGTATTTTGTGTTATTGACGTGCCGAAAAGTGTAATTTCAGCACGACATTATGATTAACAATTATGGGACACACAGGAAAAGGAAATCAACTTGTCATGCATATTTAACAACAAAGCAATATTAGACAAAAGCAACAGTACTTGATGTAACATCTTGTCGTTTTTGTCCTAATAATATAAAATTATGTCAATGTGTTTTGATTTACATCTGATTGAATAGCTTTCGATAACGAACACCTCCTGAAAGTGGCCACTGTGTCGCTGGACCCGAATGGTGCCCATATTAGAAAAGTTTTACTGTTTTTTAATTTTCTTCAAGTGAATCATGATGATTAAAATCGAATAATTTATTCCGTCGAAAAAAAAGAAGACTTTTGATTGGCTAAGATATCGTAAAGTGTAGTTCGATTGCAATAATTAAAATAGTTTTTGTTTTGTGTTCATTGGGAATTTCCGAAGTCGTCCTTGAATATAAGTTTAATCAACTTCGAGTCATAATGGAGCTTTGTTTAAATGATAAATTACTTTTGAGATAAGATTTATTTCAATATATAGCTCCTATTAATACTGGAAAAAGACAAAACAAGGATTCTTACTCATTATAAAGTTCTCAACGAAATTCATTCATTGTGAAAGTATCAGGTTTTTTAACTTTTCTTTTCTGACAAATAAATACGAGAACAAAGTTCACTTTTTTTTTTTTGCATAACATAATTTTCAAAATTGGTATCTAAGGAAAATCGCACTCATTCACAACGATGCACATCAATTTTTCTAAACGTTTTCTTATCTCAATGGATACTACTTAAAACTTAGTTGTTCAATGCTAAAATCAAATTAACGAAAACTGTACAATGTTTCGCGTTTTTCTCAAACGAGCTTTTTTTTAATGAAAAACAAAAAGTTCAGAAATATTTCCATTTCTCTGACCTACTACGTCCCGTCGAGCTGAAACTTTTTTAACAGATATAATACACTGTTTGAGGTGAGTACTTGTGTTTTTTTTCAAAAAGTATTGCACAAATAATTTTTTATTGGTTCTTACAAAAAAATCTGTAGTCAAACAAAATAGACTTTTTTTCTAATGATGTCTTCAATATTTTGACTTTTTTATTGGAAGGCCAAAAAAATAAAAACATACCCATCCCAAACAATGTTTAGTGTCTGCGAAAAGAAAACTTTCAGCTTGATCGAATACAACATCCGAAATGACATCGTTCACTCAACCATTACTTAGTCATAAAATGACCACTACCGTCCTATTGATACATCCATGGATAGTCAATCACAAGATACACATAGTTCTCGGAAGATTATTTTCGTCTATAGAACTTTGTAGAGTTCATTGTACTGATTATTTTGATTAAAAAAATATTCAAATTTCCTCAATAAATCATAATTGATTTAGTAATTTTGATATATTTATTTTTACCAAAATGATCAGCACAATGAGCTCTACACAATTCTACAGACAAATAAAAGCCTTCTAAGAACCATGTGTTTTTCTTTGCGTTTGACTGTCTATGGAAGTATCTATCAATTGATACGACTCACAAGCAGTTTCTCGTTAGTAGATAGTAACCATTCTGTCTATTTTCGAATAGAAAAAAAAATGCAATTGATAATTTTTCATCTTTAATTAAACAATAAAATTTAGTTCAGATTAATTTTGAAATTATATTTACAAATAGAGAATGACTCGAAAATCATTTTACCCAAAAAAAACAACTCTTTGCCATCGAATATACAGTACTGGACAAAAATATAAGAACACTTTATTTTTGATTTTTTTCTACGATGCTAAATAGCTAGCTCAAATCCAAATAGTGATTCTGAAAGCCAATGAAGTTTCCAATTTAATGCACTCTACAGCAGAGTTTCATGAGTGAATCACAGTCGAAAGATTTCCAGAAAACTAAAAACCGTGTTTTTCAAGTCCTATAAGACGTTGCTGAAACAAGTTTTTGACTATAGCAATGTTGAAGATCCGAAAATTTTGAAGAAAATGATG